AAAAAAAAACCAACCAACCCAAATCCTTAAAATTTTAATGCGTTTTCTGGAAGAGGACATGTAACACTGAAGGTACAGAAATGCTCACTGAGAATGCATGAATAAAGTCTTCTGTCTTTCGTTATTCATTGACCTGTGGTTTGTCATTTCCAATAATACCCCTCTGTAGTGCTGATATAGTTCCTTGGATGTAGTGCAAGCTTTCTACCAAAAGTGTAATGAGTAAAATTGTAAATGATAAATGAACTAAGAGTTAAGCCCATGCAAATTTAATATCTTGGGGGATGAGTAAATTAGCTCTATCCTACTGGTCACTCTTTGTCATAGTGGTTGAGAGAGTTTTCTCTACAATACTAGGTCAAAAGTTCAAAGCTGGTAGTTTGCAAAAAAGAAGAAGATGGATTTCTCTTGCATTGTGAAGACTCTTACAAGTAGAGTCCTCTGTTAGGAGTTAGGCCTTTCAATTGTGTGACGGCAATTGTTATCTCATGGAATGCTAATTTATTGATCGACTTTTCCTTAATCCTTTTCCATAATTAACTTGCAGATGAATTGTGCTCATCTAGAGAATTGTCTTCATGAAGCGAGAGAAGAAGCTCAAACCCATCTATGTGCAGCTGATAGAAGGGCTTCTGAGTATAGTGCTTTGCGTGCTTCTGCTGTTAAAATGCGCAGCCTCTTTGAAAGATTGAGAGCGTGTGTGTTGTCCGGTGGTGTAGCTGGTTTGCCTGAGTCCTTGCGTGCATTATCTCAATCTTTAGCCAAGTAAGCTCTCGCCGTTCACTCTGCTTTATACTTTGTTTTGTGATGCATGACAAAAACTTACTAATCTGTAAAATACTTTTGTAGTTCGTGGTCATAAAATGTTTAAGATGCAAGATCCATCGGGAAATAACGATAGGTGTGAACATGGTTAGCTCAAGTGAAAAGTTATAGAATAACACCATCTAACTAATTAATCAAGTGTGCTTGCATAATCGCTTATTTGAATAATTGGATTAGCTCTCCTTCTCCAACCGGAAAATGACAAACAAATACATAAATAAAGGCTGAAAAAACCAATTCCATAAACTTGAGTTCGGGGACAAATGCACTAATCATCGAAAACTTTACTGGCTCAAATTTTCTTATCTTCTCTTTGCTTTCCTTACAAGGAGCTTGTGTTAAAGTGTACTAACTAATCCTATCAACTTTGTTGCCGTATAATTTATTGGTGCAAAGAGACTGAAATACTCTGTTGCAGATATCTTGCGACTTACCTTGCCGTAATTGTTCCTGTTTTAGTACTTCCATAGACTCCTTCATCGTAACATGTTAAGCAAGATTGCTTCTAAAGAGCTTGTTAAGATTGTATAGCATGAAGATACGGTAATCTTAATCTGCATGTCTGAATAGCTTAAAATGCACTACTATGGAATGTTTTGGAAGTTAGCGAGCTTCTAATTATCTTGTTGTGAGACGGTATATTGTCTTTGTAATGGTGTGACATACCAAAACCCTCTGTATCCTTCAGTGTTCTCTATCCTTTTTTGATTTCCTCTTCTTCCTGATGCAAGGGTAGTAATTCTGCAGTCTACTCCCAACTATGTAAGAACTATTTGTTGATAGATTTTATATAAGAATAAATGAATTGAGTTGGCTTGAGAGGACAGAGAGAGAAATTTGAGTAAATAATGTCTTTTCCCTGGATAAGATTATGTCTTTGGTATATTCTGCAAAAGGTATAACGGATGAAAGACTATCAAAAATTTTCCCATTTAGGAGAGCCCCTCTTTCAAGAACCATGCTCTTCTACAAGGGTGAGAGTTAGAGAAACGATGTGCTCGTATTTACCAAGATTGAAGTTACTAAATTTTGGTCAAGAAGTCAAGAACGATCTGTTTTATGTGCGGGCTAAGACTATTTCTGATAGTACTAGATATCTCCTTGACAATTCCATGCTGATTGAGAAATATGGGATATTCACTTTCATGCGTATGAAGGGAAACCAAGGGTGTGACCTAGCAATAAAAGTGGGTGAAAACCATGAGAGACCAGAGTTTAAATTGCAGCAGAGACAAAGAAGGTTCGGGCAGAGTTACCTGTGTTGTGGTGGGGAGGTAGCAGGTATCTGGTGGAATATTCTGGCTGTGCATAAACTGGCCCAGACAATACTGTTATTGAGAAGGATGGAAAAAAATGGTGGTGATTGTGTTGTTAGGTATTGACATGCAAGACCTCGTGATACGGAATTTTTCATGTTCTTGAATAACAAAAAAGAGAGAATTTGAATGACACCAATAAATACTTAAAAAACACCAATTGAGGGGCTTCCTCATTGTCTCTTTAAGACACTAGTTAGCGCTCGTTAATAGCCTCTCTAGCAATTGGACTCTTTTTTGGTTACTTTTTCAAAATGAATCTCCCTCTGAGAACTATTCTATGCTTAATCAGTCACAGAAATTCCTTCTCCTCGGTGAAACTCCTCATAGAGACTAGTAATTCTACCTGCAGTTGAACAAACACCCTGATGATTCAAGCTAACTCTTTAATGGCTAATATGTTCATTTTTCCATAACCAACCCCATTAACGATCTTCTTGCGTGCCAGTCATTATCTCGATGCCTTTTCACCTAGCCTTATGCTTTAGTTTTCTTTATTTTCAGAGTACAATATTTCCACATTTTAGACATGGGTTTGCTCTATTTTAACTTGCTTTCAATTCAATGATTAATCACCAGCTTGATATTTGCATGGCTCAACACCTTCAATATGTATATTATATCTTATTCAAGAACCTTGTCAAAGTTGTTCTCAAGGATAAAATGCTTAAGCCATGATCTTGTTTATATTAATTCCAGTCCTCAAATCTAACCTAGTGATCAAAAGGAATGTCTTGCGATTTTGGCAATTGGAGTCGTGTCAAGGGGCTTTGTTTTCTGCTTGCTTCTATGCAGTAAATGAGAATACGTGGAGTGAAGAAATGCGTTGAATAACTATAAAAATTTTCTTTTGTCCCTAAATTCTAGAAGGGGAGAACTAAATGTAACTAGGGAGCAATTCCTGATATTATAACATGTTTGTTTCTTCAAGTTCTTTGTTCTCTAGCTTTGGATTAACTACTTAAAGATTTAATATTAGGAGTTAGGACAATGACTACCATTTGTTGACTGTTAGCCCATTGGTTTACTGGTGGAGTGGACTAGAAATATAATGGTAATAATTATCGTATATGCAATCTTTTCACTAACACAGGCTGATGCAAGTTAAATTGATTTGTTTTTAGTTCAATCAATGAAAAAGAAGAAGATGGCTCAGCTGAATTTCGTGAATGCATTCGGGCACTTGCTGATAAAGTTGGTGCGTTATCAAGGCACCGAGCGGACCTGGCTGACAAATGTACCAAATTTGATGCTGCAAATAAACAGCTAGCGAAGGAGTTGGACGAAAAGAAAGAATTGGTTAACACCCTCTATAAAAAGCATCAACACGAGAAGCAGGTACACTTTATAGTAACTAGTATTCTGGTCATATACATAGTACCATTACTACAATGTGATCTATTCTCAAGGTATTTGTAGTTTGTCTATGTTTGAGCTTTCAGTTTCTTAGACAATGAAAGTACTGTTATGTTAAGCAAAGGTTTGGAAATACAGTTAATAAGGATAGCATGTAGCGGCTGTAAATTGTTCTCGTTTTCTCTCTTTCGTTGATCTTTTTTTGGGAAGTGTTCCCCCTTAGATTGATCTTAATCTATATTGCGGAAAAAATAGAAATATTGCTGGTTAGGACAATGGTTTGGACATGATTTTAAAGTGACAAAAGTTTGATCCATTGAAATTTCTTGTTTAGCGACTTATTCTTTCCTAATTGTTAATCAGGCAAACAAAGAGAAGATATCGTTTGGGCGTTTAGAAGTCCATGAGATTGCAGCATTTGTCCTCAACTCTACTGGAAATTATGAGGCTATCAATCGAAACAGTCCTCGTTACTACCTCTCTGCGGAATCTGTGGCTTTGTTTACTGACCATCTTCCAAATCGTCCAAGTTACATCGTAGGGCTGGTTGTGCATATTGAGCGACAGACTGTGAGGCTGCCACCCTCAACATCAGTTCGCGCTGACCATGATAGAGACCGTTTAGATATACTGACTTCTGACACAGGAACGACCAATCGTTTGTCCTTGAATTCAGGATCAACTACGAACCCGTATGGTCTCCCTGTCGGCTGTGAATACTTCGTAGTGACAGTAGCCATGTTACCTGATACCGCCATTCATTCATCACCTACTTCCTGATCTCATGAATGGAAATGAAAGAAATGAGGGAAGAAAAACAAAATTGTACAGAATGATTTATATAGTAACTAGTACTCTTTTTTAGAGGGATTCTTTGCTTGATTTCCTAATGTACAGCTGATGATGAAAATCAATCAGAACTCTTTCTGTGTATATAGCTTTTTCTTACAAACATGTAAAATTCTGTGAATATTCATCTTTCTTTTGTTAGCGCCTTTATCGAAACATTTGAATATTCATCTTTCTTTTGGTATGCTGTTGTTATTGCTGGTTGGTACTGCTTTCTTTTTTCTTTCTTTGTGCTGGGGTCTATCGGAAACGTCTCTACCCTCAAGTTAGGGTAAGGTCTGCGTACACACTACCCTCTCCGGTCTCTACTCGTGGGATTATATAAGGTTTGTTGTTGTTGCTGTTGTATCCTTCTTTTGGTAGTGTTTTTGTCAAATGTTTGATTATAGCTCATGGCATCATCGTCATCATCTTCTTCTATCTGAGATTTACAGGCCCGACTAACCCGGGTACGTGTGATGTTAGCCCCACTAAATGGGTTAATGTTCCCTATGAGTTTATTTATTCCGACGGTCTAAACGCACCCCTATTGAACTCGAGATATCTAGTTAAGGGCAAGTCGCCACTCATTGGTAGTTGGTGCCTTTGATTTTTTATGTTAGCTGGACTTTGTTATGAAATGCTTGTTTAGTGTCTAGTGCTTGTCCATTTATCCTTTTTATTTTTTGGTTATGTTGAGTTATTAGTTATTTGTTATGGGGGCTGAATGTTTGGCTGCTTAGTGGAGGAGTCAAGTGTTTGTTTTTACTTTTCAATAAGGTGAAGAAGCAAACACCTTCTTACTGGATTGAAATTGGTGGCCATTTTAGTAATTTGAAAAAAGAAGAAAATTATTCATACCTAGTACTATTTCAGACATGTAGTTAAAGGTAAAAAAGCTTTTAAAAGTTACAATTTAAGTGTAAGATTTCAATCTCACTAAAAGCCTTTTCTTGAGTTCATAACTTTACTATTCATCAACGTAGAATATCTGACTTCGCTAGCCAGAACACTATAGACATCTGAAACAAGACCTTCACCGATTAGATCGAAAGAAAGGTCAATCTCTGAAAGGCCTTTGCAGAGTTGAGCTTTAGGGGGAATACTTTTTACGGACTTGCACTTGGAAAAGTCAAGTATCCTACGCAATCTTGATTTATCATACTTAAAAAAAAAACCGTTCCTTGTATAATCTCACTATCTCTTCGAGTGTGTAATTAGGGTTTAAGTTATATATACACTGAAAAGTGTAACAATTTTGTACGTAAAATTAGTTTAATTTAATGTGTTATAGAATCCTATCATTTAGCATTTATATTAGGTTACCAATCTATGCTATTAAATAGAATTAATTGAAATCACTTTTCAAGTGATATGATTGTGTAAATACATTTTTTATACCATCAACGCATATGACTTCAAATTATAGTATTACGAGATCAATTCTATGCGACCTACCGATTATTGTCACATAGTTGAATTTTTTTTATTAAGAGCAACGGTCAAGTTATCTCCGTGTGACCTATAGGTTACGGGTTCGAACCGTAGGATCAGCCACTAAAACTTGTATCAGGGTAGACTGCCTACATCACACCCCATTGGAGTGCGGCCCTTCCCTCGACCCTGCGTGAATGGAGGCTGCCCTAAAAAGGAAGATAAATATTACTAAGAAATTCTAGCTATTTGCTAGCTAATACTAAACATCAAAAAAACTTTTCATCTAAAATACTAAGCCAACTAATTATTTTCCGATATTAAGTCAACTAGTGTTTTTTGAAATTATTTTAATTTTTAATTTTTAATTTCTCTATGTCGGTTAGGTTAACTCAATTATTTAGAAAATATTCCACATAAATAAAATCCCCCTAAAAATAAGGTAAATGGACCCCACAACCAAAACCTTTAAAAGCCAATTTTTACCACTCTTTCCCCCAAAAACAAACCTCTGAATTTCAAATCCCTCTTTCTTTCTTCTCAATCCACCGCCCCTCTTCAAAATTTTGTCTTTTTTTCGTTATATTCACACCCCCTTTAACCCTAATTAGCGTCTCTTAATTACTCTTTCAGTTCCTTAACAACAGGTGCATACTTTTTCTATATATTGTAGATGAATCAAGAATTGATTATGCTGTTGATACTGGTTTTATTCTATTGTTATTTTCTATTTTCGGAATTTTTTTATTCAAATATTGTCTTCTGTGTATTTGAATTTTATAGTTTTCGTGGACTTTTTTTAGATACTTATATGGGTTTCTTGAAGTTTTTTAAGGTTTATTTGATTTTTTTTATTTGTGTTTGTAAGGTTTGTTAGTTTGTGTCTCGCTGTAGATTTTATTACTACTACATGTCAGGTGTAATGAGGTTTTCATTAATTTGAGACACAAACAGAGTTTTTTGTTTGCTACCCTTTTGGTTATTTGTGGAAGTATTAAGGCACCGTTTGGTTACAACTTACAAGTATAAGCAAAAAAAAAAAAAAAAACAAAAAAAGAAAAGTCCTGCTGCAAAAAATTCTATAGTTTTACACAGTGTTTGGTATGAAGTACAAAACCCTGCATTACATGTTAATCTCCTTATTTACAATGTTTGGTTTCCGGTACTAGAATTAACTTAAGTTATCTAGATTTTAATACCGGAAACGAAACGCTGTATAACTAATGTGCAGTGTTATCAAAGACGCACGCTTAAGCCCTCGAGCGAGGCTCAAAACATGTTGAGCGTTTCGCCTCGCTTAGTGGGCGCTTCAATGTTGTCATTAAGGCTCTATGGCATACTTTTCCTTGCCAATGAGCATAATTCTGAAGAGGCGCCACTAAACAATTGATATTTCACTTTATCGTAAATTTTCTTCAATTTCTTTGTCCATATATTTGGTATTCATGCTTATAGATATTAGTCTTTGACTACATGTATATATTTGTAGTTTTTCTCCATTTGTGCCTTTCTTTAATAAAGCCCACACTTTATTTGCGCTTTGCGCTTAAAGCCCTACCAAACCTTAGAGCTTTTTTGCGCTTTTCGCATTTGATAACACTAATGTGGATATAAGTTATACGGGAACCTATGTATTATCTTATATGGAATAGAAGGTGGAATAAGCAATATGTGTATAAGAGGCAATCCCTAAAAAACAATCCTATTGTATAACAATCCTCGTATTATTAATGTCCCTACAAACAATCCCTGTATAATTAATCCATCAACCAAACGACCGGTAAGTGTAATAAACTGAGACTAGGATTAATTGGTGGATATTGTTAATAGATATTGCTGGACAGGTTCTATTTAATTCTCATATGTTTTTATGGTGACTGTTTTAGTTATTTCTGTCAGTTTTAGGTGTAATAAGCTGGGAATAGGATTTAGTGGTGGATATAGTTAATGGAGACAGGTCCATTTTGGCCTTTTGGTTATTTATGGTAGTTTAATTTATTAATTTGGTAACAGTATTAATCATTGGATAAAGTTAATAGAGAGAAAAATTTATTGTCTGTTCGACAATTTTTTAGCACTAGATTTATCTGTAATCTAGTATGGAAGCTTATGCACTGTGAATAACGTGCATGTGTTATAGATGCTATCTTGGTTTTGCATGTCAGCAGATGTGACCTTTTGTTGTGGTTATTGCAGTAGCACAACAAATGGAGGGCCTTTGTTGCTGAGGTGATTTGTGGCTTACATTAGCTTCTTCGTTGAACGAAGCTAATTTCAAGTTCACCTGATCATCAAATATGGTTGGCGGCCCTTTAGGCCGGAAATGTAAAACGAACGTCTCCATCTGCAGTAAAGTTGAGGAAAAGCAGTTAGAAGCCCCAGTTCCTACTTCAGTGTCATCTGTTCGGAGATCTCCTGTTTTATCTAGCAAGAAGGACACCACCCAAATTCTAAAGAAGAATTCATCACTTGCTTTTAGCACAAAAGTTTTGTGTGGAAAAGAAACAGAGAGCACACGGGAGTTGAGGAGCGCAGAGACAAGAAATAGAAGTTCATTTTCCGCACCTACAATTAGTTCTTCTGGAAAAACTAATACAGAAAAGCAAAACAGTAAACTTTCTTTCCTTTCATGTCCTCCTTTTGATGAAGAACAATATACTTTCATAAAGCATGTCTATCTGACTATAGACAATTTAGTAGCACTAGTCAAGCATTCTTTGTCCTGGTTTCCCTCTATGTACCGGTTAGTATGATAGTGTTTTGTCTAGCACTGCTAGCGGTTTATGTTGTGTTTCGCACTTTTGCATAAAATTTGTGTTAATGCTTTTCCATTTATTTGCTGTCTCTCACGTTGCTGATATTATTTTTCTGGTTCGAATGTCACGGATCTGTTGTCTCTGAGCTGAGGGTCTCCCGAAAACAGCCTCTCTACCCCTCCGGGGTAGGGGTAAGGTCTGCGTACACTCTACCCTCCCCAGACCCCACTGGTGGGATTTTACTGGGTTGTTGTTGTTGTTGCTTGTTTAGTCGTTACCGCATGAAAGCATTACTGCAACCTTAGATAGATGTCAATTTTTCCTTTTTTTTTTCTAATTAATTCTGTGTGCAGTTCACTATGTTACATGAATACATTGTCCGTTGAAATCAGCTGAAACTTTATACAATCAGATTAGGTGTTATTGCCATTTCATGTTGCATCTCACTTAGGTTCAAAACAAGAAAAAGGCAAGACATGAATACATCATGCCTTCTGCCAATCATACGCTTGCTACAGTTTAGCTTTATCATTTTTCAAGGATATCAAGATACCATTTTTAGTGAGATGTGGTAGTTATTGTCACATCTGGACTAGTGTGTAAAAAGATCTTATGGAAGTGAACAAAAATATTAATTCCAATATTAGCAAAAGAAGATTCTGAGGAACTCTTTAAGTCCAAACTCCAACGACCAATTTCTTTATCCAATCTTTGTCAGTTATAATAAGATTTTCAAATGGTCGAGGATAATCTAAATCTGGTTGGATATGCTTTCACGTTTTCCTCATGGTTTTGTGGCTTGTATCTTCATTATCTTTTTTTATTTTATTTTATAAATTTTCAAGTCCATGTAGTGAGCAGCCAACTAGATTAGTGAAAAGGCATATACTGGTTTTTGTATAAGACAAGCCAGTAAGATTGCATTGTAACTTGTGAGCATCTCCATGTAAAATGACACCTAATGAATAATTTCCCCCATTTTATTTTGGTGCCTGCAAGTTAAATAAGATTAATGCTCTTGCTCTCGTTTCTCTCCCTCCCCTAACTTGCATAGATAGAAAAGAGCTTGGACTCAGTTCCTGTCTCTTACCTATAAATAACCGGGGCGGGGGAAGGGGAATATCTTTGATTGTGAGACCGCTGCTATTTCAGAATGTTTTACTGATATGGAACTGGAGCTTACTTCCATGATAAAGAGAGACATTCCTATAATTCCTTCAGTCTTGATGTATGTTCTGTTTTCATCCCTCGGGTCTCTGACTGAATTGTTCATCTCAGGACAACGTAGTCAGGTATTCTTAATTAATGGCTAGAGTCAGATTGAGGGGCTACATGAATGATATGGTATTTGAGGGTGTGGCTAAGCATTATACGCGTTTTTGCCATTTGGTTTAGTATAGAGCCAAACTAGGGACAAATTATTTGGAATATTACAAGTTATCCATACCTATGTAATGCATTAGAACATGTTCTTTTTCTGCAAATGAATGTTGATTATTCCAAAAAGTACCAAGAGCTTAAGTAATACTCCCTCCGTCCCAAAAAGGATGATACTTTTCTGATTTCAAGAGTCAAACGAGTTGTTCTTTCACTACGGCTTTTTCATATACCTTTTTAAATATTTTGAATTGTTAACTATTGTGACTTATAGTACTTTTTTGTAGTTTCCAAATAATTATTGTGACTTCTACGTTGGAATTCATGGTCAAAGTTAAAAAGTTTGACTCTCGAAATTGGAAAGTATCATCCTTTTTGGGACAAGAGGAGTAAAATTTTAGTATCAGCATGAAAAGTACTCCTTTCCCTTATTTTAGAGGATCCATATACTTTTGTGCCAACTATTGCTTCATGAGATTTCTAACATTGATTACTACTTCTGACAGATCATACAGTCCAAGTCCCGCAAATGAAGACAAGGTTAAAAAAAGGTTCGGAATCAGAAGCAATTAAGACAAGCCAAGTGAAAGATACTCCTGCTCCTAGAAAACCACCCTTGCCTCCTGTAGCTAAGAAAATCAAGAAGATTTCAGCGGCCGCGCCTCAAGTCCTACAGGAAATAACGCCAATCCAGACTTCTATCCATCAATCACAACCAACACCTAAACATACAAAGAGCTCTGAACTTCAGAAGACTTCATCTAAGACCCAGCTTTCGTGTCAAAAGACCCAGGGCGAAACTCTTGTCCATCAGTCCAAATTTCAAAAGGCTCCAACTTCAGACCTTTCACAAAAAATGACCCTCAACCAGAATTCAGTAGGAAAGAGAAGGATCCCTACTTCCATCAGGCAGTCTAAATCGTCCACAAGTACCAAGGAGCCTTTAAGAATTCATGAAGAGCCTGTCTATCATATTATATGGGAAGGTATGTCCAAAATTTTATCTCTTCATAGTGTTCCGAGACCACTATCTAGGGTAGGAAAGCTGCGCTTTAATATTAAACAAATGGGATATATAGGCTTACAGAACATAAGCGATCCTAAATTTACTGATTGGTAGATATATAGATCCAGTCATACTATAAATGTGATGGCGAGTTAATTTGCTTACTTTTTTCTGGAATGTGCACAACGAACGATGATTTCAATGACATAATCTTTTTGTGCTGCCCTTATCGGGATAAACACAGTGTTCGCCAGCATATGCATTTCAGTTTTTTCTGCTTTAGTGCATTGCTAATCAATAATCTGTACATTGCAGGTCCGGATGAAACATTTGAATCTTCTGGAATCACGTGCCCACTATGCGAAAATGATCTGTTGTACATGCCTGATCAATATGTAGACGGATATTATGATGATGTTGAGCCTTCGGTTCTCCCAATTGTTGCTATTCTGCCGTGTGGTCATTCTTTTCACAGCGTATGCTTGGATGGCATTGCCCCTGAAGAAAACTCAGGTGATCCTCCATGCTATTTTTGTCTCAGTTGCATGTCTTGAGAATTATGAGTCCCATCTCGTTTCTTCGGATTCTCAAATCATTTTGTTGGGGGCATTCTTGAAGCGGCTTCTAGTAAATTTTGCCAAGTGTACAGATCCCTTATGGTCTCCTTCCCTTTCGACTGTGTAGCCGCTCTAGTAGATACTACGAGCCCTTTGTCCCACGCATCTAACCAGCTCGGCGGGTCAACGTTTCTGGCGAAAGCTCTCATTTCATGAAGCATTGGATGTGTTTGAAAGCCTCGAGATGACTTGTAGAATAAAGTCCTTCAATTTCAGCTGCTCATTTTAGTTCAATTTATTTTTGTCAATTTAGAAATAGCAATATATTGAGGCCAATTTCTCAAGATTATTTCCAGGATTTTACATGCTTATAAAAGTTTTCAGAGCTTCAGTTTTGGCATGGTTTCTTACTTCCTCCATTTCCTATTTATACAAATTAGGAACATGCTTCTTTGAGTAATTTAACGTCATAGCACTTGACCATAGTTGGTTTTGTGTTGCATGCATTTCTAGATGTTTCATGGCGCCAAAATCTGCTATAATATGACTACTGAAAATACAGTAGCATAAAATATATGACCCCAAAACACCAAAAAAAAAAAAAAAAAAATCGAAACGCCGAAAAGCAATGTTAGTCATGCGGACCAATGAGTATTGGTCACTAGGTCGTTTTCTAGGGACCTAAAAAAGTTTCAGACCAATCAGAGTCCGTCACCAAAAAGTGAATATAATCGCAAATTCGTGTTGCATGACCATGAAACGCCATAAAATGAACTCGAAAGTCATGGCGAAACAATGAGTGTTGGTTGCTAGGCCGTTTCCTATGGACTTACAAAAATTCAGGCCAATCGGAGTCCGTTAATAAACATCTACAGATCAGCATGTACTAATACACACGAGAAAGTGAATATAATCATAAAAGTGTAGCATGATCTCAAAATGCCATAAAATGAACTCGAAAGTTGTCACGACCCCAATCCCGGTCGTGATGGCGCCCAACACTAATGCTAGGCAAGTCCGACCAATTAAATACTCTCAACCCAAATACGCAATCCGTTAACAAATAATACGATTAAAATAGCAAATATCAAGGTTCCAATCCGAATCTAAATAAAATAGTACGGAAAATAATAACGAATATCCAAACATTCCCCAATAGATCTGGAGTCACGAGTCTAGAGCCTCTAGATGTAACAGAGTAATACATCCATAGTAATAAAGAAGTCTAGGATATGGAAAGATAAATGAAATAAAGGGGAGGAGTCGGGTCCTGCGGACGTCAGGCAACTACCTCAACAACTCCTGAAAATAAACTTCACGAAAACAGCAAACAGCTCCACTAAGTCTCCGGAGCACCTGAATCTGCACACATGGTGCAGGGAGTGAAGTGAGTACTTCCAACTCAGTGAGTAATAAACATATATAATGGCTGAAAGTAAGAAATTCCGAAATATTACAATATAAATCTATAATCAGCGATTCAGCACATAAAACGGTGGAACAACAACAATACCAGGACAAGTAAGACAAATAGGTATAAATGCATGAATGTAATGCAATGCACATGACCGCCGCGGCGCGCAGCCCGATCCATTTGGGTACCCGCGCTCACTGTGGGGGTTTAGACTCCGGAGGGGCTCCTACAGCCCAAGCGCAATATCATCGTAGCATTCGCTGCGACGTGCAGCCCGATCCACACTCAGTCCAGATATATATATGCATGCAAGCCACTCGGGCACAGTCAAATTGTTCATTTTTAGTTTCAATTATTAGGAATTATAGACCTAAGTGTTTAAACCTTTATTTATTTACTAAACATTTCGAGGCATTGTCTAACTCAGGACTGATATCATGAAATATGCTAAGCATCATGGAAGCAGTGATTAGGATCCCTGAAGGATGCAAATGATAGGCACAAAGCCCCAAACATTTTCATAAAATCCAAGTAGGATGATTACCAAACAATTTCTAGTCAAGAACACAGTACGAACATCAATCGGAACGGACTAGGTCAAAATCCCCAGTCACAATCGACCCCGCACTCGTCATAGAGTACGTGTCTCGCCTCAATATAGCGTCACAATGTGATATACCGGGGTTTCAAACCCTCAGGTCATCATCTACATCTATTACTCACCTCAAGCCGGCCACAAGTCTAGCTCGCTATGCCTTTGCCTTTCGAATCAACCTCTTCGCACGCCGAATCTGATTAAAACCACAACGAATACATTACAATAGGCTAAAGAAACATAACCCAATCGAAAAGACTCGAAAAACACCAAAATTCACTAAGTTGGCAAAACCCGAGCCCCGGGCCCACTTCTCGAAAAATTACAAAATTTACATCACTGGATTCCTCGTCTCGCCACGAGTCTACACATACCAATTTTACCAAAATCGGAGTTCAAATGCCCTTTCAAAATCCGTTTTTACATCACAACTTTTCAAGGCCTAGCTTGACCCGTTTTGATGAATTTCCACTGATTCCTATGATAAATTTACCATAAACTCGAGTAATTAAGCCAAGGAACTTACCTCCAATCGATTCTCAGTCAAAACCCTCAAAATTTCTTGCCCAAAGCTCTCCAAGTCGCTTAAAAATGGTGGAAACTACCTCTTGTTCGCGGATGAAATATAATATTTTAAACCCTTCTGTCAACGGTTGATTTCGCTTCTGCGGTCCCGTTTCCGCTTATGCGGGACCGCTTCTGCGGCCAACATCCCGCTTTTGCGGATTTTCATTAAAAACCCAACGTCCGCTTTTGCGTCTCCTCATCCGCTTCTGCGAACCACCCAAGACCGCTTCTGCGGTTTATTGTTCGCTTCTGCGGACTCGCATTTGCGAAAAATGTTCCGCTTTTGCGGAAACCCTCCACCAGGCCATGAACCGCTTATGCGATCCACCACTCGCTCCTGCGGAACCGCTTCTGCGGTCCGTTTCCGCAGGAGCGGAAATACCAGATGACAGAAAAGCTAAACCTGCAACACACCTCAAAACTCTCGTTTAAACACCCGAACTCACTCCGAGGCCCCCGGGACCTCAACCAAAAGCACAGACATGCTCTATTACCTTATTCAAACTTGCTCGAACCCTCGAAACACTATCGTTAACATCAAAATCCTCAAATTTCATCAAATCAAAGCCTATGTTTCTTAAAAACCTCCGAATTGCACATTCGATCAAAAACCCGACCTAAACACCTCCGAATGACCTGAAACTTTGCACACATATCAAAAATCACCTAACGGAGCTACTGCAACTCTCGGAATTCCTTTCCGATCCTCGGATCAAAATCTCACCTATCCACCGGAATTTGCCAAAATGCCAACTTTGCCAATTCAAGCCTAATCCTACTCCGGACCTCCAAAATCACTTCCGATCGCACTCCTAAGTCACAAATCACCTCCCGAAGCTAACCTAATCACCGGAATTCACATTCGAGCCTTCTAACTAATAAGTCAACGTTCGGTTGACTTTTCCAAACCAAACCTTCCTTAAAGAGACTAAGTGTCTCATTTCCTATCCAAACCAATTCAATTCAACTCTAACTCACCCGTTGCTGATAATAAAACATGAAAGAGCAATAAATGGGGAAAACGGGGCTGTAATACATGAGACGATGGGTTGGGTCGTCACAAAAGTCATGGGGAACCAATGAGTATTGGTCACAATGCAGTTTTCAATGTTACTATGAAATTTCAGGCCAATCGATGCCCGTAAAAATAATTCTACAAAATCAACATGTACTAATACACACCAAAAAGTGAATATAGTCATAAATTCGTATTGCACGACCCCAAAACACAAAAAAATAAACCCAAATCACCAAAAAGCAACATTAGTCATGGCGAAACAATGAATATTGGTCACTAAGTCGTTTCCCATGTACCTAAGGTATTTTAGACCAATTGGAGTCCGACACAAAGATTCTACAAAATCAACATGTACTATTACACATGAAAAAGTAGATATAATCATAAATTCGTATTACATGACCTTGAAACGCCACAAAATGAACTCGAAAGTCATGGCGAAACAATGAGTACTGTCAGTAGGTCGTTTCCTATCGACTTATGAAATTTCAGGCCAATCAAAGTCCGTAAAAAAAATTCTACAAAATAAGCATGTACTAATATACACGAAAAAGCATATAAAATCATAAATTTATGTTGCATGACCACAGAATGCTAGAAAATAAACTCGAAAGTCATAGCGAAGCAGTGAGTATTGGTCGCTAGGCCGTTTCTAATGAACCTTGGACATTAGCACACGAAGATTTGAAATCATCCTGAATACCAATTTTGTGGCCCTAAAATGCCAAAATACAAAGAACATTCATGGAGAAACGATGACTATTGTTCTTTAGGTCGTTTCTTATTGGCCCACTGAATTTTAGGCGATTTGGTGCCCGTTGCTCGAATTCATTAAGATGGTGTGAACATTAGCACACGAAAAGTTGAAAATCGTCCTCAATTCCTAATTTATGGCCCTAAAACACCAAAATATGAGGAATGGTCATGGCGAAAGAATGACTATCATTCATTAGGTTTATTAATGGGCCCAAATTTTTTAGACGATTCGAAGCTCGTCGCTCAAATTCATGAAAATGGCGTGAACATTAGCACATAAAAATCGAAAATCATCTTGAGTTCCTATGTTTTTGCCCTAAAATGACAGAAAACGTGGAAAATTCATGGCAAATCCATGACTATTGTTCATTAGGTTATTTCTAGTGAGCCCACAATATTTTGGTGATTCGAAACTCATTGCCCGAATTCATAAAGATGGCGTGGACTATAGCACACGAAAATCTGGGAATTATCCTGAATTCCTATTTTATGGCACTAAAACGCAAAAAAAACGAGAAACAGTCATGTTGAAGCGATGACTATTGTTCATTAGGTAGTTTTTGATGGGTTCGCAAAATATTGGAGATCCAGAGCCGGTCGCCCGAATTCATGATGATGGCGTGTACTACAACACACAAAAATCTAATAATCGCCCTGAATTTCTGTTTTATGGCTCTATAACGCCCAAAATGAGGAACGATTATGGCGAAGCCATCACTATTGTTCATTAGGTCATTTTTGATGGGCCCGTAAAATTTAGAAGATTCAAAGCAGGTTGCCGAATTCATGATGATGGCGTGGACTATACACGAAAATCTGGGAATCGTCCTGAATTCTTCTTTTATGGCCCTAAAATACCAAAATCGAGGAACGGTCGTAGAGAAACGATGACTATTTTTTATTAGGTCATTTTTGATGGGCCAGAAAATTTTTAGGAGATTCAGGGCCTTTCGCCCGAATTTATGCAGATGGCGTGGATTATAGCACACGAAAATCTAAGAATCATCTTGAATTCCTATTTTATGGCCCTAAAATACCAAAATAG